TTATTTAGGTAAGCAACACTTTGCTAATTATATCCAATATAATTCTTGGTTGTCAGATGACATCTTATGTCTTATCCAACCTATGTCTCTAAGCCCAAAACCGTTTTGATAGCCTAGTCAAGTAAACCAATCTTGTTTCATATGGTAACCGTTACCATCCACCTCACTCATGTAATTGCAGACACCTTGCTTTGGCAAGTCCATCTTACAACGAAACAAGCCTTGATGGTTGATAAAATTGGGTATACATCAAAATACTTAAAATTAATTGAGGAACAAATTTTAATTCAATTTTAGTTTATATTTAAAATATATATCTAATATAGAAATAAATATAACTAATACATATCTTATATGTATTTTAATTGAATTATAAATAATTTAATAATTTAATCTAATTAAAGTGATTAATTATTTATATTTTGGATTCTAGAATTTAATCTAATTAAACTCTAAGCATACGACCAAACCGTTTTATAAACAACCTACCAACCGTTGGTTCAATTGGTATATACACATCTCATATGTATTATGTTGATTAAGAAACACGCATTCATGCATTACGATAATACGAGTGCTTCCTGAAACTATATGTATGCAACATACACAGAACGTCACATGATTCCATGATACAGATTTCAATTTATAAATCTGGTGATAAGAGTTACATTAACTTTATCTGACGGCTTCATAATAAACCTACGACACGCAATACATGTCTCACAAAGCACGAAACTCCAGATTCTGATTTGTTTAACTAACGATTAATTATACCAGTCAGATTCAATCAGATCAAACAACTTTCTATGCAAGCGATTAATTTTATCAACTAGATTGATGGTATCAAACAAGAAATTATGTTGAGTATAAAGTAAATTAATCGCAATCGTATCAATATATACACATGAAACTATTCTAATTTTATTTCAATATTCTGCAAGTAGGCTCTGATACCACTGTAAGAATTCATATCAGTTTATAACGATTTATAAATCAACTTATGAATTCTATTTGCCTAGAATCTCATGCCAATACTGAAATAATCTAGATCTTTAGGTTCTTCGAATATACCTGGTTATTCTGCAGCAGAAGGATGAATGAACCAAGTCGAGATTTCAAGCACTTCAAACGTCGTGCCTCTACCGGTATCCACACGCACACAAACTGGATCGATACGGGATGCTAGTGCCGTCGAGATCAAATCTCAGAACCTTAACGAACTATTCGTCCTTTTGTGTTTTAGGATTTGCCGTCGCAAGTCTCCTCATATGATTATTAAAGTCACATTGTCTTATATAAGACAATTCTTCTTAGACCTAATACACGTGAGTTAATTCACGTTACTAGTTTGTTGGGCAAGGCCCACTTAACAATAATAATCATATACCTCACGAGTTTATAGATATAAATATACATATGCACTTATATCATATATAACACATATAAATATATCATGTAACCCAATATATCACTGATCCAGTTTGCTTAGGTGTGTGACCCTATAGGATCATATAATATTAGTAATGAATTCTCAATTCATAGATTATAAACGGTTTCTAGAAAAAACATTATAACCACCTAATTTTATATGATTGCCGAACCTCGACGTTACGACTTTAACTAGAATAAGTACAAATTATTTTAGGACATTCCCAACAGTACCACCTTCATTGTGAATCATCAGAATGTTCTTGATGATTCTCTTATCCTCATCAGATATCTTATCACCAAAAGTAATAGGCTGACTTTTGGAAATTGATCATTTGTCCTGTGGCTTCACCATAAAACTGAAGGATGTGGTTCAGCTTATGACATTGTGAAGGCAATGCTTTGATAAGGAAGAGGATATCATCCGCGAACAATAAGTGGTGCACCGATGGACCCGTTTCCTCAAAACGCATACCATCAATCAGGTTATTTCTTTCTGCGACCTCCAGTAGGTGCGAGAGCCCCTTTGAACACAACACGAAAATAAACGGAGATAACGGATCACCCTGTCTAATGCCCCTTTGAGGTTTGATTAAACAAAACGGTTGATCATTCATTAGGACCGAGAAGGACACCGAAGTAATGCACATCATGATCCACAAACAATTTCAGTTTAGATCATGAAATTTGATAAGCCAAAAAATACAAACAAATATTTCACCAACGATTCGTTCAATTGAATGTGAACATAGAAATGGGCCAAAAAAGAATCTCAGTACTAATGGGCCTTTACAGCCCTTTAATATTATAAACATCTAAAATGAAAGGGTCACCTGAGTTTTCCGAAGCTCGACGACGACGACTACGATTGTACTCTCTCTCTCTTTCACTCGCACCTCCTCCAAACCTCTCTCTTCCCGATTCTCATTTTTCTTAAGCAGAAAAGGTATGGCTTCTTTTACAAAGAAAAAACCTTGGCTTTTGGTACTGAATCGTTGAATGCATTTTACAAATCCTTGTTTTCAGTCTTTTGTCTTCACAAATCGGCAACTCTTTGATGACTCCATTTACATGCCTGCGCACTGTTCGTTGAAACGCCTGACTGTTTAAGTGAAAAAGCTAACGATTTGCGCTTAGATTCTCTTCAATTTTCGTTTGTGAAAATGGGTTTCAGATATCTGTATGAGTACTGTTGAAAGGCGGAAACTTTGCTGATGCATGCCATAGTTTTTAATCCTTAAAACAGAAACTTTGATGTTGTGCAGAAATTAAAGAGTTTTAGATATCTTGTAATTGCTTTTGTTCATCTAAATTGGTGTGAAACCCTAGTCTTGTTGCTGTCAAAGAACCTATCTTTGAGAAGGAAAAAAAACAGTAACTTTTATATTGAGCAGACAGTATTATGAAAGTAAAGGTTTGAGATGTCTTGTAGTTGGTCTAATGTTACTGTTGGTGATTGGTGAAACTTACATGTTGTTGCGTTGCGTTCATATAAGAACGAACCTAAATCATATTCACTACTTCCTTTTTTAATTTTATTTCTATCTTTGTTCTGAATCTGAGTGCTGCGAGAATGTTTTTGTTTTTTTTTTCTGTTTTTGTTTTGAAGGGTTGAAGAATGTTTCTCAAAGTCGAGTTGCCATGGAACGTGATGATTCCAGCTGAGAACATGGACGCGAAAGGTCTGATGCTGAAGAGGGCTATTCTGATTCAGTTGCTTGAGGCTTTTGCTTCAAAGAGAGCAACCAAGGAGCTTGGCTACAACTTAACAGTCACATCTCTGGACAAGATTGGAGAAGGCAAAATCAGGGAGCACACCGGTGAAGTCATGTTCCCTGTCGTTTTCAGCGGGATGACCTTCAAGATCTTCAAAGGAGAGATACTTGAAGGCGTGGTGCACAAGGTGCTGAAGCACGGTGTCTTCCTGAGGTGTGGTCCGGTTGAGAACGTTTACCTCTCCCACACGAAGATGCCGGATTACAAGTACCTCCCAGGAGAGAACCCGATCTTCATGAACGAGAAGATGTCGAGGATCCAGGTTGAGTCTTTGGTTAGATTTGTGGTGATTGGGACCAAGTGGATGGAGGTGGAGAAGGAGTTTCAGGCGCTGGCTAGCCTTGAAGGGGACTACCTTGGACCGATCTCTGAAGAATGATCTGGCTGGTTTCTTCATGTGATGAGGTGTTTGGGCAAATCTATCATGTCAATAACTCAAGTATTCGGTTTTATGTTCGGTAACTACTCTTTTAAGTTGTGCAAACAATTGATGAACCTCGATTTTTGGATGCTAATGCTATTATCCAGCCTTTAAAAGAGTAAAATGCTGGACTAATTTAGATATTTGATATTTGTTACAATCCATTTCCTGAGTTACTAATCGATTGGCGTCACTAGTAAACACGAACACTAATACCAGTTTATTAAAGCATTCTCTTGTATGCGATACTGAAAATGATCAACTAAAGCGTTATTAATATGTTTTATGTTTTACCAGTCTAATTTTTTTTACTGCTAGAAAGGAAAAAAAGTCAAAAACCATCCAAATTACTATAAGATCGTTATTACCCTTGACGTATATCTGAAAATAAAACGTCAGCTTGTATACATTTTCATTGAAAACAAAAATGCAAATGGAATCATCGCACATTTGATCTTACCAATAAATCTATATGCTGCATATATTGCGGTCATGTGATTTAGATAGATTTTTGTTTCTGAGAAATAAATACTATTTTCAAAAATACTTTAATATTTGGGTTTATGATTTTGTGAGTTTATTGTTTAGAATTTTTTCCAAACATATACTCCATTTTTTTTACTTGTCATTTTAGATTTTGTGCATATAAATTAAAAAAAAATATTTAGTTTTGCATATTTTTAAAATGAAAACATCATTACATATATATCTAGCAACATTTTAAACAATAAAAAATAAAAAAACATATAAAATTAATACAATTATGTATTGAAATTATAAAATGACACTTATTTCGAAATGAAAATTTTTCTCTATAACGACAACTAAATTAAAATAGTATTCCTTCCGTTTCGAGTTAATTGTCATTCTAGAGAAAAAAAAATTGTTTCAAAATAAGTGTCGTTTTGGAATTTTGAGGCAAAATATATTAGCTTTGTATGATATTTTATTTTTTTATCGGTTGAAAAGTGGTTAGGTGTATAGGTAATTGTATTTTAATCTTGAAAACATATAAAATTAAATGTTTTTAATCTATGAGTAAAAATTTAGAAGGATAATTAAAATGAAATGAAGAGAATACAAGAGCATCAGCAATGAGAAACTCTTCCCAAGATCTCTCATCAAGAAAAATTATTAAAAAAATAAAAATAGGAGAGAGGCAATGAAATTTTAAAAAATTAATCTCTCTACCAAGAGACTTTTAAAAATGTCAGAGAGATTTAGTTAACACATATCTCTATTCTAAAGGTGCAAATGATTTGTAAGCAGTTATGTTTAATTCAAAGTTAAAATATTGACATAATTTTGCAAAAATGTCATTCTACGTAAGTGATTTTCTACTTTCATCAGTTAATACATTATATAAGTCGTCTACACTAATAGAAATTAATGTTGGACTACGTAACTATCATATATTCTTACCATCTATTGATTTTCTTGTCAATATTTTTTCTTTTTCTAATTTTGTACTAAATTTCATCATTTTGTTTAAAGTTATGAAAAGAAACGTCTTTAAGAAACTAGGAAGGAAATACTAATAAAGAAGAACCAATTTGTTGTAATACTAATAATTGCATGATGAAGCAGCCGAACTCATTCTAATAGCTAACCAATTATTGCATATTAACTAACTAAAATGCTGTCCATACTTTCATCCTACCATTATACTTTTTAGATATCAATATTGCAAAAAGGGTTGGTTTGAGGAATTCCAGCATAAAAAGACATCTTGTGTTTTAATTAAAAACAAAAAGAGTAGTGCCATCAAAAGTTGAAAGCTAATTATATGCTTTATTGTAGCTCATGAACATATATATATTCATCTCTAAAATAGAATATTTTAAAGGAAATCAACGACATAAATCATTAGAGATAAGTCCCATTGGTTAAATAAGTCTTTTCTTATTAATATTTGAATACACATCATTTTCTCACTTAAAGGGATACACATATCGACTCACCACCAATATTTCCCTCTATTTCGTATGACTTTATTACCGTCTCACTGCTCATTAAACATTGCACTATAGATATATAAAACATAAATTATGAACCAGAAGGTGGTGACGTAGTGGTAGGTGAACTTCGGGATAATTCGGATTTGAAGACACCTTATTACATTTAACTTTGTGGCTACATGAATATAAAATATTGCTTCGACCTATTTGAATGCCCAAAAAAAGTCTATCCGTGAATTGTATCACTATCTTGAGTTAAGTTTGTGTCTTTAACAAATCCAGATTTAACCATTTTATTCTTAAAAAAAATTACTACTCAGAATATGTTTTCCTTGGGCCAACACTGTTGAAATGATAGTTAAACCATACAAATCTTACATGTCACTTTAGGATCTACTACTTTGCTAAAAAATATATACTACTAAAACCATGGTTTTAAAATGTCAATTGATAATTTTAGTTGATTTTTATTAAAATAAAAAATCTACTGTTATGCAAATATGAAATTTAAAACTCGCTTAAAGTTCAATTTGATATTTCATAAAATAATATGAAATTCGTTGTTATTGAAAATATTTTAAATTGTGAAATTTTAATGTATTAAGTGATTTTAGAATGTTTGAATAAAATTTCCTAGTTAAAAAATAAAACTTAAATCTAATAATTTTAGATGATATTTTATAGTTGTTTAACAAAAATTACTTTAAACTCTATAATTCATTAAAATCATTTAAAATTTCATTAAAAATCAAAGCATCTCAAATTTTAAATTGAATAAGTCCTTTGTATAGAAGTTTGGTAGTAGTGTTCAATATTCAAATTTTCTTTTTTGTTATTGATGCCATCTTATAACACTAAATCAAATTTTATGGTGTACATGTGTAAGTAGTAAAAAAACTAAAAAATAATTTCAAATTAAAGAGACTATTTACAGACCTGTGGAATAATTATGTTCATCACACCCTTTATTATATCAAATGCTGCATAGTGGTCAAATGCAGGATGAAGTAAAAATAGGTTATGAAAATATCTTCTTACCGAATCTTGAAATTTTTTATACACAATCTTATAGCTATTTCTATTCATATTTCTCAATACATAATCTCGATATTACTAGATACAATGAAAGCTTTTCTATCACAATATTACTTAGAGATTTGGTGCAGTGCATGAAACAATAAAGTTAAGACCAATTTCCAAAAGTTAAAGGTTGGTCTTCACTTTAAAATAGTCAATATCAGACATCGCCGTGAATCTACCTTAGAAACTACATGTTTTTAGTACGATCATCTTTTAATGCGTAAATGGAAGTGTTGTGTCCCTTTTATAGTGAATCAGATGAGAGTCTCTTTTATGTTCTTGCACGTTGACTGTTTGATCCGAGATAATTGGTAAACAATTTGTATAAATTGTATCAAGCATAATGTCTGACTGGACAGATACACAACGCAGTTCATCAATTAAAAATATGTCTTGGGTAGGTGTTAATCCGTTTAAATTTCCAAGCAACGGTTCATTCCACTTGATAAGCAAAATGGTAAGCAATCGTTATCGTATCACTAGTTTTCGCTGCAATTTGTCTACAAATATGAAGATTTACTTAATACTAGACATTTTACTTCCGAACCGATTTTAATAGGGAGATCCTGAACCAAAATCAATTCAAAAATTTATCAGTAAAGATATGGGTTTAAAACTCCTTAACTGAATGACCCTGACTCCATAGGGACCGGGCCGAATAAATTGACTCGAACCCAATCTACAAACCCGAGTACAGATATGTGTTCCTTTTAATGTTTTTATGGTTTAGTTGTAGGAAAGTTCTATTAATAATTTTCATCTATTTTTGTGGAAAAGTACTATAAACACTTACTAGATTTTGACCCGCGTTTGAAAAGCGCGGAAATTTTTTAGAATTAAAAATTTATATAATTGGGTTTTGTCTTAATTTAAAGAATGTTTTGATATAAAATTAGTTTACCAAAATTTGTGGTGATAGTTGTTTTTCATTAGCTTTTAGTTTCAGTTTTTATTTTTAGATTTTGTTTTAAAATTTGGTTTTTGGTTTTTCGTTTTTAAGTTTCTATTTTTGATTTTCAGCTTTTGGTTTGGGTTTTTAATGTTTAGACCCGCTGAATTAGTTTAAACTGATATTACCAACAAACAAATCTCAATTAATCGAACATGTAATTTAAAACTGAAAAGATGACAAAATAATTTTTAAAAATTTTTGAAATAGTTTATTTTATAAATAAAAAAACAAGAAATATAATCTGCGTTTTCAGCTTTTGGTTTTAAATTTTATTTTTTAGATTTGGTTTTTGGTTTTGCTTTACATTTTTTTTTAAAAATCTGTAAATTATTTAAGAAAAATAAAAGAATATATTATTTAAAAGTTACCATTAAAATTTATCAAGATAGAGTGATTGTTATTTAAAATAAAAAATATTAACATGTTTTAAAGTACATGATTAAATAAGTGATTAATAATAGATAATTTTGTTTTGTTGAAAATATTAAATATTTTTGGGTTAAAAAATATTAACATGTTTTAAAGTACATGATTTAAATAAGTGATTAATAATAGATAATTTTGTTTTGTTGAAAATATTAAATATTTTTGGGCCTGAAAATAGTAATTGATTTTTGATCCATTAAAGTGGAAAGTTTATTTAATGTTTTTTGGAGATTTTCTTTAATACTAAGCCCAAAAAACAAACAATTAAATGTCATAAAAACAAAAGTAAGCCCAAAACTCTATTCCATAAATATCCACCGGTTTAATTTAAGTAATGCGGTTTAATCAACTATATAACTTGTATTATTTTTAACACTCTAGAAATGGTCCAAATTTAAATGACAACTTGTATTAGTAGATAAAAAGAATGACTCTATTTTAATAGAATAGATTTGGTATTTTTGTATTAATAGAAGTTAGTGATAAAGATTTACGGTATAGTATTGGAAGGTGGAGGTTAAAGTTTGGGTTTACGGACCTATCATGTATTGTTCCATTTGATGATTAATAAAAAATGTTTTATTTTATTCACAAATATGTACTATTCTATGTATTTTGTTCCACTCTATTTAAGTTTATATAGTTTATATTTGGGTTTAGTGTTTAGTGATAAAGATTTAGGGTTTAGTATTTAAAAAGTGGGAGTTAAAGTTTAAATTTAGTGATAGCAGTGATAAAAGAATATGTTTATGGTACTTATGTAGGAGTTACAATTTTATACTATTTCGACGATATGTAATAGAATGCAGTGCATATATATGTGACCAGTAAACGTATACGTGGATAGTTTTTTTTTTTATGTGTAATAGTTTTCAGATGCTTTTGACCTTATATTCTATCAATCACTGTTGTCCTTTCAATTTACCTGTTACCTATAAAGAAAAAGAATACAATCAAAAATTTTGTGGGACAAATATTAAAAAGTACATTATATCAAAATCAATGACATTTACCTAATTTTAACTTCAAATATAGCTATTAGGCAAATAAACCCATATAACTTCAGTAAAACATTTACGTGTAGCATACAAAAGGTTTGAGACGGCGCTATGTGAAATACTTTTTTATGCAAATGTTTATGTGAAATATTAACATGTCATATGGTCTCATAATGTTGTAAAGGGTCCCAAGCCCTAATAAAGTGACGCCAACTAATAAGCATTTGATTAACTTAAAACATATAGTTAACATAATACCAAACACTGCTTTAACTACGCAAGATATACAGTTCCCTGGACCTTCCCTTCAATTAGAAGCCGATCTTATTGTCCTTTGTTTCAGTTTCTCAGATTTTGATTCATTGAAGATTGAGCACAGGGGATGATATGGGAAACAACAATGCAACCGCCAGTTTAGCAGGTAAAACAGAATAGGCATCTCCGTTTTTTTAATTATCATATTCCTCACTTAATATTTGTCTATGTAATTGCATAAGAAGAGAGCTCAAAGCTAGAAACCAATGGAATATCACCGTTGGAGAGCCTTCCCGTGGAGAAGACCCAAGATCAGGTGTTTCTTGCAGTTGAAGGCAAAGATGGAGATAAACAGAACGAGAGCTTTTCTGATGATGTTACAGGTTTTTCTTCATCATATTTTCACTTATATATAAAATCATTTGCTCAGTTCTGAATCTACTTTTTGTTGGAAATAAAGGTAAAGAGAGTCAAGAAACAGAACTACAAAGCAATGAATTAGTTGATGATCCAAAAGTGACCAAGGTTGAAGAAGATACGTATCATAATGGCTTGGATGGCTTGGTAATGGAAACCGATGAGCAGCACACATCAGTTGCAGAAGGTAGATAAGACTTTTGTATATATAATAAATCTCTTCTTTTTTTTATACTAGAAAAAACCTTAATGCATTTTTTATTTTTTTAGTTTCTTAAATTCATTTCTCTGTTCATGATCAGGTGTTGAAACTGTGTGTGAATCGCCAAAAGTGGAAGAGTTATCCATGATTGGGACTCAAAGCATTGTGAGCAAATCGAGTACAGAAGAGTCTGGTAATGAAGAGAAGCCCTGTGTGAGTGATGAGATTGTCTTTGTTTCGCCAGGGTTGTACGAAGCTGCCGGAACTGAAGATAAGCTGGTCATGAATGAGTCTCTTGAAGAAACTGATTCTGGAGGGAAGGCTGTAAAGCTTGATCAAGAGATCTGTATGGAACAGAGAACAGGGTCTCCCGAAGAGGCCCAGGAGATTCTGAACCTGGATAATTGCGTTCTTGATGATGATGATGACGATGAAGTTACAAATGAAGGAAAAGCCGACAAGGAGATACCTAAACTTGGTTCACAAGGATCAAACGCGATTGTAGAGATCGGTTTTGAAGATTATAAGGAAGAGAGAGACATGGAGTTAGCAAGAGAAGCAAGTCTGAAGCGCATGTCTCGATGCAGATCTCTCCCAGTGAGAAACAATAGTAGAGTTGTGAGAGATTCGCCAGTTCAAGAATTGGTTTCAGAGGTTACGTGTCCTTCAAGAAACAAAATGGGTTTCGATAAAGCCAAAACGTCTGACATACTACCTGTTTTTTCTTGCCAACCAAGCAACAAAGTGCAAGAAACTTCTGAAGCAATAAGTGAAAGCAGCAAGGAAGTTAAATTTGAGATGCGATCTCCCAGCTTTAGTAATGATCTAACAATCGAGGAAAGGCGCGATGAGCCGACAGAAGAAACTCCTTTACTCTCTCAAGACAAGACTGAGACATATAAGGCAACACCCGATGTGGAGAACACTGTAATGCTGAAGAGAAGTGAGACTGAGAAAATAAGAGGCTTTGAGTTGTCTTTAGGGTTGTCGATGAACCTCAGTGGAAGATGTGACACAGATGATAGCTTCAAAGAAACCAAGAACTCAGGAGAAAACTTGGTGGAAGAAAAACCTAACATGTCTGAGACTCTGGTTGTTTCTTGTGTAGGAAGCAAAGAGGCGCAAGATACTAATGAAGTGATAACTGAAAGCAACAAAGAAGATGCAGTTGAGATGCGATCACCGAGCTCTGGAAATGACCTAAGAACCAAAGAAAGAAGCGGTGAATCTACAGAGGAAACTTTTTTACTCTCGCAGGACAAGCCTGAGACAACACTCGATGTGGAAGAGAAAACTGTGATGCTGAAGAGAACTGAGACTGAGAAAATAAGAGGCTTTGAGTTGTCTCTAGGGTTGTCTATGAACCTCAGTGGGAGATGTGACACAGATGATAGCTTCAAAGAAACCAAGGTCTCAGGAGATAATTTGGTGGACAAGAAAGCTAACACGTCTGAGACTCTCTTTGTTTCTTATGTAGGAAGCAACAAACCACAAGAAGCTACTGAAGTGATAACTGAAAGCAACAAAGAAGATCTACTTGAGATGCGATCTCCGAGCTCTGGAAATGACTTAAGAACCAAAGAAAGAAGCGGTGGATCGACAGAGCACATTCCACTACTCTCTCATGACAAGACAGAGACATACGAGGCAACAATCGGCGAGGAAAAGAAAACTGTGATGCTGAAGAGAACTGAAACTGAGAAAACAAGAGGCTTTGAGTTGTCTTTTGGGCTGTCGATGAACCTTAGTGGGAGATGTGATGCAGATGAGAGCTTCGAGGAAAACAAGGGCTCAGGAGATAACTTGCTGGACAAGAAAGCTTCTTGGGGTTCTATGAAAGGTAGAGTCAGAAAAAGGAGCAAATCTTCGCTCTTTGGGACATGCCTCTGCTGCAACATTGCAATGAATTGAACAGATTTGCAGGTAAGAGGATTACTAATTTTGTGATTCGATTGTTTTTACAAAATTATTATGGCATATTGGGAGGAAACTAAATGAATGTGTGGATTGGGTTTTCTGTATACTTGAGATGGGTTTTTCTGTTTAAGAGGTTTAAAAATGTTGTTGTTTTATGATATTTCCTTCCAGTATGAATTTGGGGTTTGTTTTATGTTATTTCCATACCATATAATTGTGGGAACCGAAATTCGCACTGTCGAGATCCGTTGAATCAAGGAACTTAGGGAAAATCCTAATTTCTCAGAGGTCCCGGATATCTGTTAAACCACACGCCAAACAATCAAAATACGAAAATAACAGGAAAGACAATATGAAAATCGAAATAGAGAGCAAAGAGATGTCTTATTCTGAATTAGCGTAAGAGCGGTACAACGAGGTAAAGCCTTGGCCACCAGAGCTGACGGAGAGTTCTCTAGTTCTAGTAACCTAAGACTAAAACCCTAGTTGAGACGCAGCTCGATAACAAAAACGAAAAGTTGCATATTTGTCCTAAGTGCTATGTTTTCTTGTGTGATGAAAGCTCTGAAAAATATCCCCTTCTCCTTGGCTTCAACTTTGTGCTCATATACTCCTCTTCTAGGCGGTTTCTTTCCTTTTCCGCCTTGATTCGTGTTTTTCGAAAATCTTCCATTTATCTCGATTCTCCATTTTTATCCCTGGAAAACTTCTATTTTTCTTCGAACTTGACATTTATCTTCTTTCTGCACATAAACGGGAAAACCGTCATCGTATCTTTGGGTTGGACTCCTTCTAAAGTCGCAAGTGGGTCTTTGCCGCGTTTTAGGATCTTTCGGGCCGTTTTGCCCCTTAACAGTTTTACGATTTTAGACGGGGTCGTTCCATGATACGATGCCATTTTTATAAAACATCTCGAGTCAATCGTATAGTTTGGTAATGTCCGGTGTTCTGTTTAACCGTTGCCGTTTTATACGATTTACAACATCTTCACTGGTCACCCGGATAAGACCCCGAACTGGCAACGCTACTACTTCTTCGTCAAGTCCGGCCAGTTCGCTTTCATCGACCCTCCTGAGGACGAGTTTAGGACCTATTGGAACAGTGAAGCTGGTAGCTAGCTCGCCTCGATCAGTATTAATCTATACTTAGCCTGATAATCGTTTTCTTGTACAGATCCGCATCCCAACTTCTACTTGACCGACACCGCCGTTCCTCCGTCATTCCTCTCTAACACCTGAGCTTTAGTCGAGTTGGGTCATCGTAAGTGGCCTGATATCAGCGAGGAGAGGATTCAACGCGCGATAGATCGTATCAACCGAGGTAAAGAGGAGCACACTTGATCTTTTGTTTATCCTTTGTGTAGCATATTGCTTAAGTTGTTGCTTGGGCAGGTGATTGGGATAGAGAATTTCGGTACGAAGCCAAGCCCGGGAAGAAAAGGTCAAATCTTTTTTCAAGAGAAGAGCAGCGAGTTATCAGCCAAGCATTTGCAATGAAAGAGCTTCCAGATCACTCTAAGGCTATCAAGGAGAAGAGAGGAGGGACCTCCTAGGATGCCGCAGTGATGGGAATGATTGACGGCTTCGATCTCGGAGGAGGAGTGCCGTCTGGTGACGTGATTCCTCCTCTTTCTTAGGATGTTATCGCAGATGGGTCCGATCCATCAGGGGGAGTCGAAAGAGTTCGCGGGTTGACGGGTCTGAAAACCAGTCAGACGACCCCGATGTTGCCGAAGACAGCCAGCCCGCTGATTCTCCTGCTAAGGAGAAGAAGAAAAAGAAGAGGAGGACGTCTAAGTCTGCTGAGAATACTTCCGGGTCAAGGGACGTTCCATGCATTGAAGAAGATCCGGACATCACCCGCCTTGGTGAGGAGGAAACTGACGCGGGTAAGGGACTTGGTTTTGTGAATCCGACAGACGAAGACCTTCCGACCGAACAGCATGTCGCACCTCCGGAGGTTTTTAAAAAGAAGAAGAAAACAAAGAAGAAGAAGACAACGAAGGATAAGGTCGGCTTCGAGGCGGGAGTGCCAGACTCTATGGGAGGGGAGCCTTCGGTTGATCAGATTCATGTTCCTGATCCAAGGATATTCCCAACGCTTGATCAGCTGTTCTTTCGAGACGCCTATCTGAATGTCACTCGGCTCAAGGAAGCGGTAAGTCTTCTCCTTTGCCCTTTTTTTCTAACATGATCGTCTCGTCTCGCACTACTTATGCGCTAAATTTTTGTCTGCAGGCCGACAACGGTGTAAATGCCTTGGTTGAGAAGTATGATGCCGCGCTTAAGGAAACATACATCAGTCACGGGAAGGCTCATGATACAATCGACGCTGAACGAAAGTGTTCTGTTGCGCTTGAGGCTTCGCTTGCAGACTCGGAAAACATACGAGCTGAAGCAGTCAATTGGGCTGAATTCCAGGCGAAGGAACTCGAGGACATTGCCAAGGAGCTGGAAGCTGTTAAAGCTGCGTCTGCCAAACTTGAGAAGGAGAAGGCTGAGTTGGAGTTAAGATGGCTGACGCTATCAAAGAGAGAGATTACGAGGCTACGCATTTGAGGGGATCCAAGGTCCTTGAGGTTACTCGGGAGTGAGCGAGGACTCGCACCAAAATGGCTAAGAAGGCGAATGCTCACTTCGAAAGAATTAAGGCCCGCGAGGAAAGGTTGTAGGCGTACGACGATGCACGGTGCCTCTGGAGTCAGGCTTTCGGGACGTGAAAGTGTTTGGAGATGCTCAAGGAGGAAGGTAAGGCAATTCCTTAAGCAAAGATAGACTCCTTCCTTGAGGAGGAGAAAGCTCGTAAGGCGGAGACCGAGAAGCTTTACCCCGGATCTCCTGAACAGAGGGATTATTGTTTGTCTCTGTTGGTGCTGAGCTCGAAATATGTCGATGAGACTGTTCTCTCTTACATAGTGGCCAGCTATGAAAAAGCTCTGAATGCTGGATTCGACCCGAGTGGAACAAACATGGACAAACTCGACCCCAAAGTCGCTGCTCGTCTTCGCTCTCCTATCGGCTCGGGGAGCGTCTGGCACGTCAACATGTCTTCTGAGGAAGTTAATGATTCGAGTCTCGACGGCTCTAGGCATGGCAAGGGAAAATCTCTTGAAAGTGACAAGGCTAGAGCTAACCCAACGGATCTGGAAGGTGATCAAGGTACGAGTCGGCAAGCCACGAGTCGTCCAACCTCGTCAACGAATGCTTCTCGGGTTCGAGAGACGGATACTCGCGATGATGGCGATGATGCCGCGATATCCAAGGAGTAATTGTCTTGTTGTAACGGATTTTCCTTTTCACTCCGTCTGTGGAGTTATTTCGGCTTTGGTTTTGTAACAGTATGAAAACTTAAATTTGTTTCGATGTTTGCCTTGGGGGCTTTGTCTCTTTATGAACCTTGGACTCGGTTAAGCTTTTGCCTCAGTATTTTCTTGTTGAATTTAGAGTTTTAGCTTGACGGGTGCGCGTCTCGCAACTTTAAATTTAAAGGATTCATTAGAGTCCATTGACCTCTAAAGTGACTCCTGTTTTAAATTTAACAAACTCTTATCCGGGCCGTTGCTCGGGATAGTAAAGTTATTATCTGATTTTCGCCTTTTCATCTCGTTTGGTTATTGCTCGTCGGTTAGGTGTGACCTCGACTGTGCAACAACCATTGAGATTATGCTTAACTTAGGCCGACAAGGGTTTCAGATTGTCGCAACGTAGTTCTGTAGAGCTTAGGTCGGCCGATCCCTGCTCTAGGAATTATCACAAAATCGAACTTGGTCGTCTCTTTGTTAGTCGGAGGTGACTACGACTAATGGAGCTCGCTGAGTATGCTTGATCAGGGTATTTTCGGAAAAGTTGTGCGAGTACCAGTACGTGGTCCGTGGTTCGTGGTCCCTTCGTATACTGGGAGCTGGGACGTAGGCATCGTGATGGTGTTTTTTTTGAGTTATAGCTGGACCGTTTAAGGCTGCCTACGTACCTCTAAAGAGGATCAAGCCATTTGTAGTTTGATTTGTCAAGTAGAAGTGGCTTGCGTGGCTCATCTACTCGGCGAGTGAAAGTGGTTATACCGCGCATTCACTCAGTTTACGAGTTAAAGTGACTGACGAGTCATTAACTCGACTTTTTTTTTCGAAAGAAGGGAAGTTCATTACTCGGCGTAATAGCGCCGTAAGTTGATTGAGTTCCAAGCTCGTGGAACTTCTTCGCCGGCCGAAGTCTCGAGATGGTAGACGCCTAGTTATACAACCTTAGTGATTTTGTAAGGTCCTTCCCCATTCGCGCCGAGCTTTCCGGCGTTTGGATCCTTGGTATTCTCGAAGACTTTACGTAGAACGAGGTCTCCTAGGTCGAGGTATTGGGATCCCCTTTCCTGTTGTAATAAATTTTAATCTGATGCTGGTAATTCTGGATACGCAAGAGGGCCTGGTCTCGTCGTTCCTCAATATCGTCTAACGCGTCGAGGAGCATATCGCTGTTGAGTTCGATGTGCTCCAGCATTCTTGATCGTCGTAGACTGGCGACTTTCACTTCGGCCGGTGCCATGGCTTTGACTCCGTGAGCGAAAGAGAACGGTGTTGTCTTGGTAGCTCCTCTCAGAGTTGTCCTGTGCGACCAGAGAATTCCGTCTAGCTCGCCAGCCTAGTGACCCTTCTTTACGTCGAGTCTCTTTTTGATTCCATCGATGATGGTTTTGTTCGAAGATTCGGGCTTTCCGTTACTCTATGGGTATCTTGGAGTGGATGTGTTAAGACGGATTCTCCATTTGGAGCAGAAGTCGCGGAACTGGTGGTCGATGAACTGTGAGCCATTTTCTATTACGATTTCGTATGAGAGGCCGTGATGGCAGATGATATTCTTCCATACGAACTTCTAGACTTCTTTTTTCGTGATGTTAGCGTATGATTCGGCCTCGATCCACTTTGTGAAGTAGTCAGTGAGAACGAGGATTTAGCGCTTTTGCCGAGATGGGGTCATCGGGCCAACGATATCCATTGCCCAACGCATAAAGGGATACGGCGCTGTCATAGTTCGGAGCATCTCGGTCGGGCAGTGGAGGGTCGACGCGTGCCTTTGGCACTTGTCGCATCGTCGCGAGTATGATTCGCAATCGGAAACCATCGTTGGCCAGTAAAAACCCAAGCTTTTGACCTTGAGGGCGAGAGCTCGTCCACCGGAGTGGTTGTCTCCC